ATAAATACATCCTGTCTTTGCAGCCATTTATACAAGAACGTGGGACCAACACACAGCCCCTGAAGCCAAACATCAACGCACTTACACAAACAACACTCACAGCTTTTTAAAATACACAGTGAATTACACTGCTTCAGTTTAGTACTGTTCTTGAGATGACAAAAGCTTTCTGCTTCACAAAAAATGTGTTAATAGGCATTATATAAAGCAACATCTTCATCCAGTCTTGCTTCAGCCATCTTATGACTTTGCTCAAGATTGATGTCTTGTAAGCTCCTCACTGAACTGTTCATTCCATTTACCTTTACAAAACATCAACATTCAAACTTTATTCTATGTCTTCCAGAAATTCCTGTGTGGAAGTATTTTTACCACATTAGAACATCAGCCAGCCTATGACCACCATCTGAAGAACTACTGCTCATTTAGACAAACCAGCTCTAAAAGGTCTTTGTCTGAGGGTGCCAAGCGACCTTAAAACAAAATCCAAAGTGTTCTGACTTCCCATTCACCTGCAGCTTGAAATTCTCCACTGTTCACAAAAAGATCAAACTATATTCCCACTGAGTTTGACATCACTATCCAATATCCAGCATCTGCACATGAAACAGGACATCAAGAACACATTTTTAAGTATTTTTGGACAGATTTGAGTCTTACAGCACCCTAGGAACAAACAACACAATATATCATAAAGCTACTTTCTACACAACATTTCTAAACCCAAAACTTAAATTCTAACAAAACCACACAACAGCAGAGGTGCTATCAGAGGCACAGGTTCCATTAGATCAGGCACTTCAGAGACAGGGGCCTGCACAGCCTTTAAACAACAGCTCTCGTGCAGTTCTGCTGACTGCAAATATTTGCCTTGACTCGCATGCACTTCAGAGCTGGGCCAGAAGAAAACTGGAACAAGGTTATCTGCCACCCTCGTGGAGAGGGTTAGTCCTCATTAAGAGACACCTCATTATGCAATCAGGCCCTGACTCCTGTTTAAGACAAAAGCAAGGAGGAGCACAGGAGGCTGGCAGGGCCCCTGCTCTCCACCTCTTTCTCCGCTCTAGGGCAAAGGAAACCTTGAAAATTATCAGCAGGGCAGGTGAAGCTCCTTCCCCTGAGCACCCCAACCCCAACATCTGGGCACAGATCCCTACCCTGTGGGGCACACGACACAAAGGATCCCAGTGCCCAGTGCAGGAAGAACAGAACGAGGCATCAGGAAACTGCGCCTTGGCCTCGTAAGGAGGTCCAAGAGGTCTGGACTGAACACCTCATTGATGGGCCTGGGACAGAGCCACCAAAGGCATTTTCCTTCTCATCTTTTTTAGTAGCAAAGCAGCAGTCTTTTATTTTCTTATTTTTTGCAAACTCTAAAAGAACACTGCCTGAAGGAATCTGACTATGTTTAACAATAAACTGAAATATAAAATCTCAGAGGTGTCCATGTTGGTGTGTTCAACAGCCCTAGAAATAACTTAAAACCTCAATAAATTCTATTAGTTTTCACTTCCACAGACAACCTGACAGAATGCTGGGCAGAACTGATGATTCAAACGATGGCACAGAAAGGAATCCATCAGCACTTCTACAGGTCCCTTAAAATGTGCTCCAAAGAACCCCTAACAAATGACTTAGGGAAAGGTTACAGTTGACTACATAAGGTTCTTTGAGGTGCACCTACCTAGAGAAAGCCTGGGGAAAAAGCACACTACCACCTTACAGCTCCAAAGAATTGACTGTGTGACAAGAGAACAATCAGCTGGAAGTCAGAAAATCATTTTTGCTAAGTGACAAGAATGATTTAGTGTTTTTGTCAAAAGCCTTGGGTGGTTGGGATTAAGATTTGATTTAAAAACTCTGTATTCATTTTGGAGCAAAGGAATAACTGAAGCTCCTAATGAGAAACTACCTCGGAAGTGGATTAGACTTTAAATATTGCACTCTCAGCAATAAGTAGATCAGCACTAACTTGACTCAGGGAAGGTTTTTGACAGGTAACACAAGGGACAGGCAGACAGCCCTGCTCTGCTGGCTGGAATGGAACCCTGCCTGCTCCATGCTCTGCCCTCCACCAGCTGAAGGGAGAGAGGAAACACATCCCAGGAGCAAAGGGCCCCCTCGGTGGCTGGATGACCAAGCAGCAATGCTGCATCTCTCCAGTGCTCCACAGGCCTAACACTGACTCACAGCTACTTACTCACGTGTTCAGTTCATTGAATGCTTCTCTTTTCCAATTCCACCTCTCAGCAGTTACAACTGGGAGAACTGGGAGCAGCAGCACTGCAGACTAAGTGCTAAAGAACAGGGGTTAGTCAGTTCAGAAGCCCTATCAGAGTGACAGACAGGAACAATTCACATTTGAACTGAGTACTCAGGCATTTTCCTGAGAATTAGGCTGGGAGAACAACTGATGGAAAGCATTAAATCCTGAACTTGGGCTCTGAGGAGGTGTCTGCCATGGAGACAGACACAAAAGCTGCAGTATTTGTTGTCATAAAACTGTTGAGTAAAGGAGCACACCAATAATTATTGTGGCCTTTCTCGGTCTCTGCTGGCACTTATGTGTGGGAGAAGGGAAAAAAAGGTGAAGGACAGTACAAGTAGGAAACCCCTTTCAGACAAGGCTAAGTTGGCCTGCCACTGAAAGAACAGGACCTGAAAATAACTCTTCCCCTCCAAACCACAGAAATTCTATTTTCTGGGATTGCTACTAGAAAGTAACAGATTCAAACAGTAACGTTTCTGCAGTCCTGACAAAGGAGCCCGAGGCTAGCATTCCATGAGAACTGAAATTCCCTGATTCTGGGAAGAGATATAGAAAATCTTTTCTTTAGAAACAAAATCCACATACAGGCTTGGCTACATTTACATTCTGAACATCCAGGACCATGTCTGTGCACACATTTGTACAGTTTTAACACCTCTTAGTTTGTTAAGTCCAGACATGGCAATTCTGCCAGCTTTCTTCAATCACCTTGGTTTTTCTTAGCACCCCCTTCAAAACAAGGGGTCAGTGGTGACCACAGGTCAGGCTGAACTTCAAAGGGCCTAAAAAAAACCTCATTTAAGGTATAGATACATCTCCCTCTCCAAAGATGACACCACTGAACAGCTCATGGACTCAGGAGGCCACAGGCCCAGAGTTGACAGCGATGCAGTCATTTTTCCAGCATGGAGACCTTCCAGGGACTTTGCATTTCTTTCCAAGCAGCAGTCTAATAGTGTAAAATAATAGGGCTATTACACACATATCAGTAGTATTTGGGCCCATTTCAAACACAAGATACTTCCTAGACTTGTTTCCAAACCTCACATGAGTCTGTTCTAACATGTGAACCCACTGTTTTCTTCTCCACCAAGTGCAAGGTCTGAAGGAGTTCTTTGGCTCTAAAGGGTCTTTTCTGAAAAAGCTTGCTGGAGGAACACTTGGGGAAGAAGGGGGAAGCAAGAAATGGGTAAACAAGAAGCTGAACCACAGGACAAAGCAGCAGCAGAATCCTAACAATTCCCAGGCCACCAGAGGAAAGAATCAACTTCCCCTGGGAGGCTGCGCTCAAACTCTGGGAAAGGGAAACTGTTCTCCTCGTTGACTTTGCAGGAGACCCAAACCAAAGGATGGCAGTTTGCTCACTCCTCTGCTTTTTGAGGGAGGTGTGGCTCTGCAGACTGGAATTCCACAGGTGCCCCTATCTAACAAAAAAAGCCAATGGATTCCCTCCACCTTGACAGAGCCCAACCAAAAGAGTTCTCTCATCCAAATGGTCTATAACGTGTTTAAGTCTGTCTGCAGCACTTTGTGGAAATCCTACAGCCTTCAGGAAGGCACCTGGGGGCAGATGATGTCACTTAGGTCACAGCCAGTGAGAAGTGTCCTTTCTCACAATTATCCAGTCCATTTACTTTCATCTATTCTCCTCATCTGAAAGCCTTGATATTGGATTTCCTGTCATTGGAAAAAAACTTGTCCTAAAGTGAGGACAAGGGTGATAGTTGTTTTTTAAGATTTTTCCAAATCCAGTCATTTACTTGCAGTTCTAGATTAACTATTTAATTTACCCAGGCAGCCAGAAGGCACTAGCAACAACAAAGAGAAAACCACTTGTGCATTTTCATTCCTGGGCACAGAACAAGTAGCAGCAGAAAGCAGGAAAACTGAAGGAACACAAGTCCTACAAAATGCAAGAAGAGGCAGAGTCCAGATTTGGAAGTTGGAGATCCTCTGTCACTTTTCAAATGGGAACCACAACAGTCAGCAGGAGTTGCAAAACTCCCTCAGGGCCTGCTGCTGAAAGACATTCCTTAAAACTTCCCATCATCTTCAACAAATGTCCACTTCAATCTTTCCATCTCATGTGAAGTCTTCTCTTCACCTGTTTGTATTCGGTCAAAACAGAAGATAATCCAGCAGGTTTTGTGGAGGGGGTGTCCCCACTGCTAATCCCTAGAGAATTTCAAGGGCTGGCCTTTACACAAACTCAGTCTGTAAGTGAGAAGATATTCTCTGCAAATAAAAAGCATTTTTGACAAGCCAGCAGCAGCTCTCGAGCTCATCAGCTGAAGCAGCAAGGCAGCAATAAAGTATGATCAATGGGGCTTAATCCTCTGAAGCAGGTGGAGAAGACAAGCAAATTATCTCAGATGTTTTTTAATATTTTTAAATAAAATCTTTAACACAGCCTTAAACATTTTCAGTTATGAACTCACCAGGCAATTGGCTGAAGAACAGGATTAAGGTACAACCACTTCCATCCATCATTGATATCAATGTCAAAAATTAGATTTGATTCCTGAGCTGATAAAGTTTAATAAAAATCACCAGGACTACTTTAGAGAATTCTATGAAATTCTAAATTAAAAGCATTACTCAACAGCCTGTTCTGTAATACATGACTTTAACAGATATTTCAAGTCTCTCTCAGTTACATTACAGCAAGTATTTAGTCAACTACAATCAAAGTTAAAACAAAAAAGTGCCTGTGATCTAAGGCTCATTATTCCAGACCTGTTGTCAATCAGTGAAAAGGAGAGTAGCAAAGGACATACCTTGGAACTGCTCCCAAAACAATCAAGTTGGCTTTTTGTTTGTTGTTTCCAATTACAGCATTTTTCATATCTCTGTAAATCCAGAAAGAAAAACAAACCCTGGTAAATTACGCTGAGGTACTGAGGGCTTATCTTAGAATTTACCATTTCCATGAAGGCTTAGCAAGCAGTTTTGCACATGTCCATGCTGCACTACAGACTGAGCAGTGCTCCAGGGCACAGTGTCCTCAGCCCACAGGTAACACCCAGAGCTCTGGGATTCCAGTCCATCCCAGCTTCTGCAGGGAAGCAAAAACCCAAGCTATCTCACATGCACACCAGACACAAAGAGCTCTTATTGCTGCAGAAAACTAGATATATTTGTTCCCTGTGCCCATACAGTCACCAGACTTCCAAAATAATTTCAAAAACCCCACTACTGGTTGGGAAGTTAAATGTTGGTAATTTCAAATATTAAGTGAATATTCTACTGGATACAGGAAAAGACAAGCTCAAAGGAAAAAAAAAAGGAACAAGGAACTATGACCAGTCTCCAGAGACCAGACTTTCACTCTCCTCTTCACCCCAGGCTTCCTTTCACGAATTTCAGTAGGACACCTGAACATCTGCATGTCAAAATCTCAGGAACAAAGCGGGAACAAAAGCATTTTCCTGCCTGAGAGTTCCTGCAAGGTTAAACACGTGAGAGGCATCCATGCTGTGGTACAGGGACAGGGGAAGCACTTTGGAACGTGGACACTGGTTTTGCACACTAAGAATTCCTGTGCAAATGTGTGGTTTGCAACCTTGTTAGGAAATGGTTACTGTATCCTAAAACCATCCTGAACATACTGAACATACATGAACGTCAGAGAACCTGAAAGCAAGCTGGCAACTTATGACCAGTTCCAGAAAATCAAGATGATACATTTCTAGGAAACTTTGTAGTTGTAGAGACCTTTAAGAGCAGAGAATAAAAAGAGACCAAATTCAGGTAATTTTTATTAACAACAAAAAATAATAAACTGGATTACTGCAGCATTATTGCAAAACTGATAAATTAATCACTGTTTAACTAGGCCCATAATTCATTCGGGTAATTTGGGAGCCTTAGTGGCTGCTTTAAATCAGCGTATTTTCTTGCCACTCTTTCACCTGCTACCTGCAAAGTCAAAGGGATTTAGAGCAGCCCTGCTGTGTAAGATCCACCCTGGCCAGCAGGAACACCACACAGTGCTGTGGTGCTCACTGAACACACTGCACTGCAACAACCAGCTGTCCCAAGTTTAACTCACTTCATCAGAGGTACAAAAAACTTCTTAGCCAAGGTAGGCAACATTTGCTGGCATAACAGAACCTTTATAGACCTCCATTAGCAAAAGGTTCTTCCTGAATTTCTCCCTGTGGCTCGTGCTCTTACCCAGCCACGGAAGAGGGCTCCAGGAATTTTAAGGCAATGGAAGGGAACCCCTGGAGGTAGGATGTGATCTCACAGCTCCAAGCCAGGAGCCAGGAGCAGTGGCAGCAGCTGTTCTGTGCCCAGCTGAGCCCAGGCAGAGCCAGCAAAGCCCAGTGAGCCCCCAGCACACAGGGCCCTGCCAGCCCAGCCCAGCTGAGCACCAGCACAGACCCCGGGCCTCGCTGCTCCATCGCCCTCAGCTCGTTGACTTCACCCCACGGGACAGGAGGGAGAGGGGAAAGAGCAAGATCAGAAGACAGGCGAAGCTGGAAGCCCCAGAAAATTTCAGGGGTGGACTTGGAGACTGCAATAAAACCAGACACAGGCCTTCAGTGGTTTCTATGCTGAACGCTTGATATCCAAATATCCCGGTCGTTTTTCAAGGTTTTTAAAATACCAGAGTCAGTCCAAAACAGTGGCAGAAACAACAATCAGGCATCTCAAAGGAATAATGGAAGCTGTCCCAACAGATGTGCTAATTCCCTGCTCAGGCCACTCCAGGACTCCCACAGAGGCCCCTCTCTGGTATCTGAGGCACCAAAGCCCCAGAAAGGCTGCACCACATCAGGGATCTGCAGAAGCACCTTGGGAGGCCAAAGAGGGGACACTAGCCCAGCACTCTGAACATTCACTGATTTGGGTGACATTTTAATGCTCTGCTCAGGAGATTTTACACCATATTGTGTGGGGGAAAAAAAAACCAAACAAAAAACCCATACAAACCACAAAACACCACCAGCCAATTTTTTGAGTCCTGCCCCAACTCCACAAGAGAATAGCTTAACCCTAAATCCATTTCATACATAATAGTTACTGACTATCAGAATTCAATTTAGAGACCCTTTCACAAGTGGCAGGAGTATGGCCAACTTCCATAACACTCATACTGAGAGGGTTAGTGAGGGCACAGTCCTGATCTGGAAATGATTCCGATGACTTTTTCCATCCCAGGTCACAAAGTTTCTCATTAAAGTCATGGCGGACAGACAAGAAATATCAATCACAAGCTTGAGATGTCTGACAAATCCAACACATGGACATTCAAACATTTGCACCTGCAAGCAAGTAAAATCGATACAGTGACCAAAACCTGTCAAAGACAAGCGCCAAAGACCCCCATGTTTGTGGGCATCACAGCACTCCCAAGTTCCCCACCACGTTTCTCTCTTCCAATTTGCCATTTACAGAAATGAACCTACTCAATACACTGGGAGCAGGTGGATATGGAAAGCAAGAACATCCTCAAAATACCATAATCCAGTGCTGAATAGCAGCAGACCTTTTTTGTGTACTATGAAAAATAATTACGTGATTCCATATTATATTTTATGAAGATTTTCCTGATTGGGGAGGTAATTCCTTGAGAAGTAAAGAAGCTACCACATGCTGTCATAGACTTCCAGGTCCTTAGTGAATCATGAACCTTGGAAACTGAGGGCAACTCCCTTATTTGAAAACATCACCTCCAACGAGTTGGAGCTTGACTGATTTCAGATCCAAAATGCCATGAGATTCATCCAAGGGAAAAAAGCAGCAAAGATCACTATCTGGTACAAGAGGTAACAAAGAAACCCCAGGAATTATTAGTCCAAAACTAATATTTCCAAATGTCACTGCTCCCATTCCCTCTGTGAAAAGGAGTCCTAGGCATGAGGGAGGAGGGAACAGCAGCACAAACACAACTACGGAGAGATGGGAACTTCAGAGCCCAACTAGTCTGTGGTGACTCCAGGCCTAGTCTGTGATCCAGAGGGAGACAGGGGCCCTTGCCCTTGGACCTGGAACACTCCAGCACTGCTGAGCTCCTCAGCCTCACAACTGCAGCTTGTACAGACCAAAACCTCCCCCAGGAGGGGGGGTGCTCCTGAGATGCACTCGACGTTGGTTGGATTGGGTTTTTTTTAAATAGCCTGTGCATTAAATCTTATAGTTTATATTCAAACTAAACTGCAAGTTTTTAAACAAAATAACCTGAATTACAATCACTCTAATGCAGAGATTTAAAATCTGATAGTTGGTATCTATGCCAACATTTTCTTTAACCCAGCAATTTATATGAAAAGAAAACTTTCAAGGAGGAACAATACAGGCTGCCAACAACAAAATTCAGCAAAGAGATCCTAGCTAAGCATTTGGGAATACTGCTTCCTGAAGTGCCCAACCAGCTTTTTCCATCTCTTATGGCTTCTCAAAGAAATAAGAATGCAGTTTCATCAGCTCAACTCTGTGACCACTCAGCTTTAAGTCAGAAACAAAGTGGAGACTGGAAAAGCAGCAGGATTGATTTTCTTCCCACCAACTCAAGAAAAGGGGGAACAATTACTGGGTGAGGTTTATCAGCTCCAACACAGTGTTCTAGAACATTGCAGCCAGAAGCAATCAGTTCAATTAATTAGCTATAAGTAAAATGCAATGCATGCTAGTTTTAGTGTATTAGCACAGCATGAGCGTTTAAAGTATTTTAGGAGTACATTAAACTCACCAAAAAGTCTAATTTCCACCCAATTGCAGCCTGCCATGAGTTACAAGAGGAACTAATCTGCCAACTGTGCATGAAGTACTGTTTTTATTCTGAAGCTAAATGTGTGATGGTTTAAAGGCACCAGATATAGCTGCTTCAGATAAGCAAAAAGCAGTATTAAATATAACAATTTGTGAGTAAAATATGGCCTTTAAGTTTCAAGGATTCCTAACCAATAAAAAATAGTATTATTAAATGTCTAAGTCCTGAGAAAATCAGCACTCCAGCCTGCCAATGGAAATTATTATCGTGGAAGCAAGTTACAGTACTCAACTTTGTTCTAAACAGAAATCACTGAAGTTCAGCTCTAACTTTGGGACTCCTCTCACTAAATTAAAACCCAACAGAGCAGCAGAGTGAGCTCAGGCCCCAGCTGGGAAAGAATAGAGCTCTCCAGCATCCCAGGGATCCACCCCTGCATCTCTGCTGCCAGGGAGACCCTGAGGGAGCAGCGTGGAGACAACGACACCCCTGGGAGGATTTGGTTGTGCCTCTGCTTTTAAATACAGGAAATCAGGCACAAACAGAAGAAATAAAATCCTGAGAGGAAGCCCTGGAGCCTTCCTAAGGCAACACAACAGATCTCCAAACAAGCCAGAGTGACTTGAGGAAGCAGCCACAGGAACTCCACAGAAGAGGAGGAAACAAAGAGCCTGCAGGACATTTCCTCATCTATGGCTTCTGAAAACAGAGCAGGTGGCCACATTCAGGGGTTCCTAGACAGAGAAGGATTCCAGAGGAACAATCCCAGAAGGAAAAGTAGCCCTGGACACATCAGGTCAGTGCTTTCACTTTTCATATGAAACAGTTCCAGGAGATCCTGAGCTGATTACAGGGCCAGAGGAAGCTCCAGACAAAGCCCTGCCAGGAGATTTATCCACCAGAGGCTGAGCAGAGTCACCAACAATGGGATGACGCAGAGCAGGGTCCTCAAAGCCTTCAAGAACTCAAATGCAGGCAGCCAGAGAGCTGAGGGACTGGAGCTGGTACAAGGACACAGCCCAAATGAAAACCCTCTCCCCCAGCTCCAGGAGAGTCTGAGTTAAGGGTCATACAAGCAAATGGCACCTGGGCTGGCTGGACTCCAGTCAAGAGCTCTCTGAGGAGGTGAGG